CACCCGCCAGGAATTTCCAGAAGGGAACGACGAGAAGAGATCCATAAAATGCTTCCTGAAATCATTTTTTTTGATAGAAACTAAAAAATAAGAACACAAAAGTCTGATGCAATGCAGCTGCCTTTCGGCAGCTCTCCAAATAATCACTGGAAGCTTGGCACCAAAGAAATTCGTGATAGTTTCGAGATGAAATTCTCTGAGAACCCGACAATATAATTGGCTGATTTTGGGAAGCATGCAAAGGCTGTGCTGAGTTGGCAAAAGAAGGGAAAAAAACAAGTTTTATCTGTCAAACAAAATTGCCACTGATAATCCCAGAATCAATGTTAAAGCAATGAATATTGAAGCACCAATAGAATAAGTAAAGCTCAAATGGGCCCATAAAGTGTGACAATCGAGGAAATGATAAACAGCAAAGGCAGTGGTTATTAGAACTAAAAATTATAACAAAGTGCAAGAGCTGGAAGTCAATGTCTCTTCTAAATTTAACAAAAAAACGGGTCAATTCTTTACAGAGATAAAGCTCCTAGCATTTTGTCATACACTTTCTTCTTGAATATTACACATGTTGCTTCCTTTTCCGTTGAGAAATATTCATATTACGAAAAATTCTGACCCACAAGACAGTTGGTCGCAGTTTAGGAGTAGCAACATTCCGGAGAAGAGTATGGGATTCTCGAAAGGACAAAGCCTCACCAAGCAGTTTTGTTAGCTGAACTGTATTGGCAATACTTTTTTGAAGATGAACGAACGTCTGGATAGCTAACAGTTAGACGTCAGACGATGTATCATTGATGAAACGAAGTGGAAAAGCTGCCAGCTACACAGATGAAGTAAACTATAAATTTACAGCTACTGCAAGTATACAAAAACCACCACAGGCGCATTAGATTAGCTCGTTACGTCCCTCCCCCCGTCCTCTAATCCACTAAAAGTACTATGAAAAAAAAAAACACTAAGGACTTCCTCGGCTAAATTTCAAGGACAGTTACTTTTTGAAAGCAATTTCTGACATACTGCAAAAATTTTCAAAATAAAAATGTGTGGTGAGAAGTAAAAAAACAAATTTGAAACATAAATATATGATAAACTAAATTTCATCTTAAATAAGACAGTGAAATTTTTTTTCGAACTATGTTATATAAAAATACTGAAGCTAAGTTAATAACATCAAAAATGCGTGATCCCCAGATTGGCCACCAGGGTGGTCTTAGCATTCTTGTTAAAAACATTTTCAAATTCAAACATACAAATTTCACAAATAAATAAAGCTTCGTGCATCAAAAATCATTTGAATTATTACAAAAAAAAAAATGCACAAAGAAAATGGGAAATTTCAATAACTGAATAAGCTACAGGAGCTGATACGTAGTATGGTGAAGGCAGTTCTGACTTCCTGGCATGTAAAAGGCAATAGTTGATATTTTGAGAAAAGAAATTTTACGGATTGAGAAATGATACAGCAATATAACGAATTCCACTGGTTACTGGAAGACCCTCATGAAGATGCGTCAGTCGCCCGGGAAACATTGCCGCGTAACCTGCAAAAAGTACAGTGCGTACCCAGAAAAATGCAACTAAAGAAAGTCGAGGATCAAAATTCCTTGGGGATGCATCTTCTGCATGAGGTAATAGCACTGAGAAGTAGCACGGAATTTGCATCAGGACCCCTTCCTCTTAAAACAGTAGCTTAGGAATCCAGTAATAGGTGTTCTGGTTTCTTTTTTTTTTATGTGCCACTATTAATTCGCCATCGAAAAAACCCCCAGTAAAGGATTAAAAGTGATAAAGCCAAGTCAAAGGCGGAAACCGTGGAACAAGCATGTGAGCAAAATTACCAATCTGATCTGCAGGCACTGTACAGTTATAGCGAACATATCGTACACCGCCACCCTCAAAATCCTTGCCTCGCTGATTCAGC